AAACTGTTCCAACTTTTCTCTGAGCCTAGTCTGCACAAAATGAACTATTCCAGACAGATTTTACCTTCACCTCTTCTGTGACACATGAATTTTCAGTTCTACCTAGAACTTTTATGATCTTTTTGCACTCCCCTATGCCCAAAAGCTTGCAAATAAAGAATTTTTTTGCAAATATCTAGTTGGTCTAATAGAAGATATCACCTCTGCTACGAGTTCTGATTCCTTTTGGCTATAGACTATTACAGCTACAACGTCTTCTAGGTGCTTAGGCAGCCCAGGATGCCTGACTTCTGGAGCAAAGGGGCTTTAGCTTGGCACGTGGATGCAAGAGCGAATGTACAGGCAAACTCAGTCAGCATTGCAAGTTCCTACTGTTTGCACTACTGGATTGGGGCTGGGATTTTCAAAGGGCCCTACCACAGGTAGCTGGTGCTCTCAGATACCTGGAGAAAAAGGTCATGAGACCCACCTCAAAGGGCACCCCAGGAACGGCTCCTCTGGGTTGCAAGTGGGTGGGCAGGTTTGTCCGGAGCAGACATGGCCACACAACTCGGGAAGGGCAAAAACATCAGGAAGCTCCGGATGCACCTCAGGATGCCCCTGCGCTTTCATTACTTTCCCCTGGTATCAGCACTTCTTATCTGCTGGTCCCAAAGCATCTTACAGAGGTGATTCATTGTCGTCATCTCTGCTCTCAGGAGAGACACTAAAGCACAGGTGTGACGAGCCTAATTTTTAGAGGTACAGGAAGTCAAATTCCTTCAAAAGTCAGGCTGGAAACAGTCAGTTCAAACCCAGCAGGGAACAAATCCCAGCTCTCCACACCCCTCTTCTCCGGCTGGGCCCACACAGGGTCAGTCCTCAGCTCTGCTGTGCCCATCCCTGCCACAGCAGATTTCAGAAGTTGTCAGACCTGGAACGGTTCCCATTTTTTGCACATACACAGCACAATTTTGGCATGACAGGACCAGCCCTGGGTTTGGATGAATGTGCTTCAGAGTAGGGCAACATGTCTTCTTGCTGCTTGTCCTCGCTGTGCCATCCTTTCCCTCCGTCCTGCAGCGTGGAAGGGGTGCTGCAGGATGCAGCTCCAAATTGGCAGTCGCAAGCATGTTGACACTGAGCACCGTCTGCTGACATGTTTCCAGCGCATCGTTTGCTCTCGTGCAAGAAGGCTCCTGCATAAAGAAATAGTAATGACAGCAATGATACATAATCAGTGGTGTGGCTTATCACAGAGTTCCCACATGACTTACATGCATTCAGAACTGCAAAGCAACCAGATTGATGATAGATACCTCTGTGTAAGACTCAGCAAATTTGCATTTGTGTGTGCATGTGTTTAAAATCATATGCAGCATGGATGTGTGTATATATGTGTATATATATGCATGGATGTACATATAACATGCAGAGGTGGAAGGATATTATGCATTTGTGCATACTATAAAGTGAAAGAATCAAGAAATCATGAAGTTGGTTACCCTTAACAATGGAGCCCTTTAGCCCTCTCGCAGCATGGCGTACTTCAGGGTACAAACTCAACAGCAATCCCTACCAGCCATGCTGCTTAGTTATAGACACATTTAGTCTAAGATACTCTAGGAGGATTTCTACCCCTTCCAGAGCTCTGCTGAAAATTTCTGAGCAACTGAAGGAGAGAATCGGTCTTGCAGTTGCCTTCTTAAATACAGCAGTGCTTGAAAAGGTTGCTGTCAGTGTGTAACATGAGAACTGGTGTGGGCTGGATGTCCTCAGCCAAAGTAAATGCAGCATTAACATGCTCCAGACATTGCTGCATAGTTCTGCATGCGATTCAGGAGAGGCGGTGGCATTTGGGCTTCAACCTTGTGCCTCCCTGAGCCCTCCAGGTCCTTCAAGCCACTGCTGCAGATGTTGGGGTGCTTTTGCTAGGTGTAAGCATGAAGACTGAAGAGGGTTGGAGGGTGGCTGTATATCTGCAGGGATGCTGCATGAGCCCAATACATCACAGAGATCCTGTTTATCAAGGCAGGATTTAAATGATGCTGAGTCCTTTACTGTTCCCCTGTGCTGGCTGCATTTTATCCTAAAGATATATAGTTAGTGTAAGGCTCCTTGAGAGGTGAGGGTTGTAATCACTGATGATGATGTAATGGGCAAAAACAAAGCAACTACAGCAGCAGCCATTAAAAGAAGCCCTTGTTGACAACAGTGGTACCTGACATCAGACAGTCTTCCCCTCTGCTTAAGCAATGGATTGATAACAGCTGGGAAATGACTTCTTGATGGCTTCTGCTGTTCTGGTGAGACTGCTACTGTGGGGCTCATGGAAGTGATCTTGACAAGCAATGGGAAGGGGTTTCACTGCCACTTTGCAGTCTCTCTGATCAGCTTGTGGCTTCCTGCATAGCTAGAGCCTTTTTGTGCCCTGCTTTGGTGTACGCTACTTGCAATGTTCTGCTGCTGCACCAGAAGCTATAAATCTGGCTCGGTGATTTAAGAGGCCGCAGCTATTCCATGCCCACATTAATAAATATAATGAACTGGGAACTTCTCCTGAAGTCTCCAAGGACCCGGCTCATGTCTGAAACCTGCTGCCATCCTCTTGTGCTCCTGAGGGGTGGATGTAAATCTCTCATGTTTAATGATCAGGAAAGATCCTGCTGCAGGGCTGTATGTCCCTGACATGAGATGGGGCCCAAGTTTGATGGAGTTGTGCTGTTCTGGAGGGAATACCCCCTTTGGGATCACAACTGCCTTGGAATAACTTAACAGCACCGGCTGGTACTGGAAGGTGGCAATACTAGTAATATGTTACATGGATTTCAGTGGCACTTGTCACTGCAGCACTTGCTGCTCTGGAAGAGGCTTGCTTGTTATGAACACGTGTCACACAAGCCAGACCTAGGTGCCAGGTTTGTTTGGATTTTTTTGTTCCTCATTTGATAAACCAAGGAATGAAGGAACCAAAGTGAGTTTTACCACCTGCCATTCCTTAGCCTTTAAATGAGGGAAGTAACCCTGATGGTGGAGGCTTGTATGGGAATCTGCATCCTTGGAGGGTCCTGCTTTGAGTAGGGGGTTGAACTAGATGACCCCCTTCCAACCCTACTTTTCTATGACTCTATGACTGCAGAAGTACTGTGCAAACTTCCTGGCCTTCTTTGCAACTTCCAAAGGTCAAGCATTGACATCCAGATGTTGTAAAGCTAAGTGCCTTTCATGCTGCCTTTTTTCACTCTCACCCTGGTTTGCGGGCCTTGCTGCCACCGTCACCAGCTTCGTTCACTTTTGGCCTTCCTCAGACTTCTCTACAAACCTCTCTGCACGCAGACGTGGAAAGCAGAGTCACCTTATCCTTTGGAAGGTCTGGCAGAGGCATCCTGTGGTCAGTAGTGCCTCATGACCTTCATCTGTGCAGTAATTATTTCTGGAGGTGACCACAAGTCTTTAAAATTTGCAAGCCTGCCATCTCTCAGAGCATCACTGGGACGGGAACTTTGTCTGGAATGACAAGTGTCAGCACATAAACAACTGATGAGTAGTATTTAGTGAGGAGATGTCCAAAAAGGTCTAAAGGATTTAGCAGTGGAAGCCCAGTGACTTTCGGTAGGACTCATAGACCTCAAGCATTTCTCAATTTTTTTTCTCCTCAGACTCTTGAAGTTAAGGTCAGAGTTTCTTCACTGGATCTTCTTGACCCACTAAGCCATAGGGATTTTAACTTTATTTTTGTCACTGGTCATTTGTTGGAAAAGTTTTCTGCCCCACATAACAAGCATGCGGGACTTTTCCAGTAGTCTGTTATGATGGCAGGGCTCCTTTCCTCCTCCAAATGCATCTCATTTGGATTCCCTTCTCTAGTTGCCTCTTACATCCCAGATCAAACAGGATCCTAGCTGTATCACTCCTTGTGTCGCTGAGGCTGTAGTTTTCACCTCCCTATCTTGGCATCTGATTGAAACCTTTTGAAATCAATGGTAGCCTTCCTGTTGACTTCAGTGGACTTTTGATCAGGTCTTGAATATGGCTCCATATTGGGCCCTGGTGTCCTGTTGTGGCCAAGTACCTCTGGCCACGAGGCAAGGCTTTGGAGCAGGCCTTGTTTTGGTGGGGGGCGTTGTCTGTGTATAATTCAATGGGAGGCGATGGGCACTGGCAGGGCCCTGAATGCTGTGCTGTCAGACCTCCTCCATGTTAGGGATGTGGGTTGCTGATGCCAGCTGCTTGCCTCTCTGTGCCCCAGAGGAGCTGTACGTGTGTTGAGCAGTGCAGCCAAGCGGTGCTGCATGCATGCGGCTGTCCAACCTTGGGAACCGGGAACGTTGTGCTTCGAGAACTTCCTGGAGCGCATGGTGCTGGCCTGGCTACTCCTGCCGAGGTCTATGGCAAAGCATCCGGTGATCTTGCTGGGAGCAGAAGGGGCCAGTGCACATGTGAACACCCTGCGTGGAAGGAAGTGCTGGCCCACTCGATGGCATGGGAAGATTTGTCATTGACCTCAGCAGGGCCAGGAATGCTGCGGTCTGCTTAATTTCAGCCTCCCAAATCCCTCCCGTTTGAGCTCTGGTTTAATTTCACCTATTAAATTCCTTTGGGGCCTCTTAATCCAAGCAATCCCCAAGCTAAATAAATAAATGGTTATTACCTGTAGACTGGCTGAAGAGAGTTGGCCAACCCCACTTAGACACAGGGACTTCAATTCTTGAGATCAGCTCCTTCCCTCTGTCTCACGTGGAATTAACTTGACCACCGGTGTATTTGTTTCGCAAGCCAAATGCTGTGGTTCTCCCCTGTTAAACAGGAATGTGCGGCTCTAGGCGGGGTTTTGCTTTCATTATTGTGCCAGCTTTTAACCTTTTTTCTTGAACAAACGGATAGCGTCCAAATAAACCCAAGGCTGCAGGTTCACTGTTATGGGCCAGAGACAGCTTTTGCATTAGTGAAGCGGGTCTGTGTTGATGCCAGCTCAGAGGATTTCTCCCCAGGCATTCAAACTCTAACTGTGTGACTTATGAGCTGTGCTGTTTCTTACTTCCCTCTTTGTTTTCACAGGCTGTAGGATCCTGGCCGTGGAGCTGACATCCAAGGACCTTAAACCAGTGGTGCAGGAATTCCAAAGTAAGTGCTGCGGGGAACCTGTTGCGTCTGTAATTTGAGCATTCGGCCTCTCCATGGTGGTGGGTTTGCATCCATGAAAGAAGCAAGAGTCCATGCATTTCTCATAGCACCTGGTTTATGGAGGGTGCAGTAGAGCCTGGCTCTGACATTCAGCCAAGAGCTTAGGTTTGCCCCCATTCGGCAAAGTGCTTTGCCTAAATGCTCTGTTGAAGCCTCTTGGAAAGATTTGACACTTGGACATAAAGCGAGAAAGGAAAGCGATGTTATGAAGAATGCATAGCACTGAAATTTGGGAGATGCATGGGCTTTTCCTGGCCCTGCTAACACACAGTCACTGTGACCACTGGGCAGGTGGCCAGTTCTCTGTGCCTCCGTTTCCTCTTCTGTAAAATGGAAATCTCACAGTTGCTGAATTAACCAAGATACCATGTGGCCTTCAAGTTGAAGGTGGTACAGGATAATGAAATGTTCTCCTGCCAATGCCAGTGTGACCTCTGCAACTTAAGACACCGTCCAGGGTGACAGTGGTAACCTTAGCCTCACTCCGTGCACCGATCGGAGATGAAGCTAGTACCGCATGCCTGCGCTGTGAGGGTTTGTTTGCTATAAATTGGACACCACTGTGTACAGTGTGTTCCTTTCTCTCAGCAGTTGCTATCTGCATGGCTATTATTTTTGCTGGCTGAGGCCCATCTTCCCCAAGGCTCCTGGAACCCAGTGGCGCTCCTGTTTGCAAGGCAAAAGAAAGGCAGGGCCTTTTTTGCTTTGGAGGAGACACCACCCAGTAAAAACAGCATGAGGCTGCTCTGAGCAGAGTGAAAACACAGCTGCTCCCGACTAATCTGGAGTTGTTTGATTTCTGGTGCTAGGTATCGAACTGTCCTGCATCATTACATCCACCACGACGCCTGACCCCAGGATCGAGTGGAAGAAGATCCAGCACGGCGACACCTCATATGTGTTCTTTGACAATAAAATGCAGGGTATGAAGATCTTGCTTTTTCCGCTGTATTACCATAGAAGCCATGGGGGCAGGGAGTAGATGATTCCCTGAAAAACAAGTACTCGAGCACTTGTACTGATTGCTGCTAGGACCTGTGCTGGTCAGCCAGTGGTCAGTGTGGAGTGAGGACTGGATCCTGCTGACACACCTTAAGCTAGCAGTCAAGATATAGAGCCACAGAGAGCTGAGGGACTGGGAAGGGAATGACCTCCTGTGCGTGAAACCGTTTGTTGAATGAATACGAGACAAATGCTGCAGTGTCCTTTCCCCTGGTCCTGCAGTCTCACATATGGTCCTTGAGCATCAGAGGGTAATGCCAAATGTAGCTCTTAGGGCCAGATGTTGCTCTTCCGTGTCCTCCTATATGAAACCCTGATGATCCTCCATCATGCCAGAGGAGGGCTGCTGTTTGGGGTAAGCAATGCAGTGCTGTTCCCACAGCAGCAGGTGGGACTTACTGTTAACAGGGAGCACTGCCAGCCTTGGGAACTGGAGATGGTGACTGGAAACGAGATGTCCGGTTTGGCAGTGAATATAGATGCTAAGTAACAAACAGGGCATGTCCCCACATGGTGCTGTTCCAGAACAGCCGCTGTGCATTAAGATCAAACTTAACCCAAATTAGCTTTATAGTGTTGATGAACTCTTGGCTGACAAAGATGGGACATTTTACCCCACTGGTTTGTCAGGAGTTTGAGATCTACAGTACGAGTTATGCTTTCCCTTTCAGAGTCTGTCTTTTGCACAGTGGACTGGACACACCAGGCGGTGCACTTGTAGTCTTTACCGTATACCACTGGCCACGACTGTTCTCTTCCCTGTCCCATCTCTAGGGGACTTCATGACGCGTGCAGAAATTTATGGCCGGACGTCGCTGGTGATCAAAAACGTCACCCGCATGGATACGGCCACATACCGCTGTGAAGTGGCGGCGCCCAATGACAAAAAGAACATCGACGAACTAAACATCGAGCTCACAGTGCTAGGTATTGGCTCAGCTCGCGACACCTTAGCAGGCACTGTCGGGTAAATCACGGGCCTTGTCAGCCTCTCTGGAGGGCTGCTCTGTGTGGGAGGAAGTGGTGATTGTCATTGTGAAGATCGATTCCTCCTCTGTGGTCTGGAGCTTAAACCTGGTGCAAAATTGCTGAAAGCTTTGTCTGCTTCAGCATCGCACATCTGTTGGAAGCACATGAGAAGGTTGTTTCCATGGTGGGTCTCATTTCTGGAGGGGTAGCAGTTTCTGTCATGCTGGGTTGCTCCAGCTGAACCATTGGTGTGTGATCCAAGAAGCTACTTGGATAGATGGGAGCTGCCAGATCCATTCATGTTTCTTGTGCTTTTCTCCCCACACCACTCCACCCCCTGCAGTGAAACCTGTGACTCCCAGGTGCAGAGTGCCTAAAGCCGTACCTGTGGGCAAATCCGCTTCCCTTCACTGCCAGGAGAATGAAGGCTACCCGGCCCCCATTTACAGCTGGTACCGCAACAGCGAACCTTTACCAACAGACTCCAAATCTAATGCCAAATTCCAGAATTCCTCCTTCATCTTGAATCCAGAAACCGGCACTCTGGTAATACGCCAGGGGAAATGACTGGGAAGGATGTAGCTGGAGGGGCTGTGGCAGGGATGCTCAGTGTAGGAAATGGGACATTCTCTTTGTATGTGCCTACAAATGAGTTGATGAGGCGGCAATAACTGGAACCAGTTGAGACACTGCAGGCCCTTGCTTGTCTGGTAGAGTCCAAGAGGCCACGTGGGGAAGAAGGATAATTCAGGGGGACCAGAGGGAAGGATTCCCCTCTATCCTGTACTCTGCCATGGCCTTGCAGACATCATAAACCCTCATTGGGAGGGAGGAGAAGTGGTCCAGGAGTCCTCTTTTATTTTTTTTTCCTTTCTCTATATCTAATGCATCTGTTGCTGTGGCAGCTAAGTGCTCTATACAAGAAGTAACAGTTCTGTCCCTAAAAGGACTCTGCTTATTGATGGCTGTCTTCCTGGGGGAGAATGCCCCCATCCAGTTTGCAACTTCTGTTATCAAGAGAAGGCACGTGCAGCGAGAGCTCCTGCAAAGTAGCAATGCTCTAGCTAATTCCTGGGGTTCTCTAGAGGCTGTGCAGATGCAGGCTTGGAGACATGATGCGTTTTCCCCATGGGGTCTACATGATCAAATGGCAAGCAAGGACATTGCCTACAATGACCTTTTACCTGTTTGCAAGTCCATGGGGTATAGACCTCTTTTCTCATTTGCTATTTGTGAAAAGCCTGTGGAACCGTCTCCTGTCTCTAACGCGTTAACTCCAAAACAGGTCTTCCACGCTGTGCACAAGGGTGATACGGGCCGTTACTACTGCATAGCAACGAATGACGCTGGCGTAGCCAAGTGTGAGGAGCAAGAGATGGAAGTCTGTAAGTGGCTGTGCCTGCCTGGCAGGCTATCTATCGTGAGCACTGCAGGGATGGCTTAGTGGATCTTGCGTATTGTCGAGTGTATATGGCCTTCCCCAATCCATGGTATTTCCTATAAGCCCCACAGACGCGCTTGGTGCTTTCCAGGCAGATAAAGAGCCAAAGCTTCTTTCCTGGCACCTTAAAAACAACTAAGGGTAAGACTATGGGGACACATGAGAGTATAGTGAGGAAGGGCTTGGAGAAAGGCATCATAAGAAGGAAGAAAGGGCAAACTGTCAGCCCCTGACTAGTTAGATTGAGTTGATGAACTTCACATCTGCTATGCATTACTTATCTGAGGCATAATAAACTGTAGCTGCAATAGGGCCTTTCTTGGATAGTGCTCGTAGAGCCGTTTACTAACAAGTTCATTTAAAAACAGATATGCACACTACTTCATCCACCTCCAGGGACGAACGTGGGCAGTTCTTCAGCAGTGCCCAGCAACACCATACCACAGCAGAGTACAAGAAATGAAGAGCCCCTTAACCAGGCAGGGACAGCAAGGGGTATTTTGAATGCCTTCGAAGTTGCAGACCCATGTTTCCTACATCACAGTTACAGTCAAGTTGTACATCCAGCTTGGTGATGAGCAAGTACAAAGGGGGCCAAGGATGGGAGAGAGGGGGAGCAGTGCTGGTCATGTGGCAGGACAGTGACCAGTGCAAGGCACTGAGAGATACTTAAAATGGCTGTTGAAGAAGCGGCGGGATAGGCATGTCAGGGATGATTTAGGAACAGCCCATCCTGCATCCGTGCAGGGGGCTGGATCTAGATGACCCTATCATAGAGAAGTGTGGCTGGAAGGGACCTCCAGAGGTTATCTAGTCCAACCCTCTACCTGAGGCAGGATCATTCCTATCCAAACCATCCTATACTATTCAAAATATAACCTTGTGGTAAAACTGTCAACCCTGCCACAACACAAGACATAACACCCTAACCTGCCACAAGTAAAACAGGGGAACCATGGATGCCAAAGTCCTGCTTGTATAAAAGCTTTTTACTATATGCTCAAGAGTTCCCAGCTTGAGGTCATGCCCCGCTACAAAGGCAAAACCCCTGCAGCCTGTACCAAACTGACCACAGACATTAGACATTACAGCTGGAAGGTACCTCATGAGATCATCTGGTCCAGTCCCCTGCCCAAAGGCAGGACATCAGCTGCGGTCAGGGGGTCCCAGCAAGATAGTTGGCCAAGCACATCTTGACTGTATCCAGGGTAGGTGCTTGCACCGCTTCCGGGGG